GTGAAGTCCATGCCAGCCAGCAGCCATCTGGTCGACCATCTCACCTGCCCCATGTGCCACAGACTGCGCCTGCACTCGTTTATGCTGCCTTGCCACCACAGCCTGTGTGAGAAGTGCCTGCGGCATCTGCAAAAGCACGCCGAGGTCACCGAGAACTTCTTCATCCTCATCTGCCCGGTGTGCGACCGCTCACACTGCATGCCCTACAGCTACAAGATGCACCTGCCCGAGAACTACCTGCGCGGGCGCCTCACCAAGCGCTACATGCAGCAGCACGGCTACCTCAAGTGGCGCTTCGACCGCTCCTCCGGGCCCATCCTCTGCCAGGTCTGCCGCAGCCGGCGCATCGCCTACAAGCGCTGCATCACCTGTCGCCTCAACCTGTGCAACGACTGCCTCAAGGCCTTCCACTCGGACGTGGCCATGCAGGACCATGTCTTCGTGGACACCAGCCCCGAGGACCAGGACGAGAAGATCTGCGTCCACCACCCGTCCAGCCGCATCATCGAGTACTGCCGCAACGACCACGAGCTGCTGTGCACCTTCTGCAAGGTGGCGTTCCACAACGGCCACGACACCGTCAGCCTCATCGACGCCTGCTCCGAGAGGGCCGCTGCGCTCTTCAGCGCCATCGCCAAGTTCAAAGCAGGTCCGAGGCCCCTCCTCTCCCCTCCAGGGGAACTCGTAGCTCAGGGACTGATGGGGAAAGTGGCTTAGGGCGGTCTGCTCAGTGGGAGCCTTGCCTCCACCTGTGGGGCAGTCAGAGCAACAGGAAACGCTGGGCTACCCGGCCAGTCACTGTCCTGGTGTCCACGCCTGGACACCACCACCGGCCACCTAACCTTCCTGCACCTTGATTTTCTCAACTGTAAAATGGGGACAATAGTAGAAAGCCCTCACTGGGTTGTTGTGAGGATCAAATAAGTGCCCTATGTGAAGTGTGCAAAAACTATCTGGCATATAATAAGTGCATAGAGACTATATCATCTTCGTTATAATCTTTATGTTCTTGGACCTCACTTTCCCTTTTGAAAAACGAAGAGTCTGTTCCTATGGTATCCTGAAGTTCTGTGAGCTTTTGCCAGGTGTTTTGTCATTGAAGTTGGATTTCTTCAGTATTTTCTCAATTTGCATGGGGAAAGAATTGTCAGCGCTGACAATCATCTTAATTTTAAATTTTTCCCCATGAATTTTTCCCAAAACTTGCAGACAACAAAGTAAATGAACTGGTAGCAAATATGTAATAATAGGAAAACTCAGAAATAACCAATATTGGTTCTGGTCAACAGCTTGTTTTCGCTCTGCAGGCCTGTTCATGGTTGTTTTATATTGGCTACATATAGCATAGTTACAGTTTCTATAAGGAAACTGATCCTGATTCCACAATGAAACAGGGTTCAGGAAAGACCCCCATGATTTCTGGGTGTGTCTCCACCTAACTAGACATCAGGACCCCCAAGGGGTCCCATTAGGGTCCTTTGCCACCAGGAACAGCACCTTGTATGGAGGCCTACTTTACACAGGTCTTTGGAACACACGTCCAATCTCAATAATCCTACAGGATAGGCACTAAATCTCCTCCACGGATAAGACAACTGGGGTTCAAATAAGTAATCGTCACAAGGTAGCTAGTAAATGGCAGACCCAATATATCAGACTCCAATGCCCATGGTAGTTCCCCAGCATTCACCTGACAGCCTGCTCTGTGCTAAACAGTGACCAGAAACTAAAGACAGAGGAATTGAAGGGAGCAGGGGAACCACGACTACCACCATGGTCTACTTCCTTAAGGGCTGTCCCTACACCTTGAGGGGTATCCTACAGTCAGTGACCAAAGTGCACGAGATCAACCCAGCCCCTTTCCTCTGTCGGATATTTCACTCTCCATCATGCAAACATGCCTAAATATGCAGGAGGGAGGCGGCTTTTCCCTGAGCTGCACAGAAAGACCCCATCGGATATACAGGTGGGTCGGAGACAGGCTTTGCTCATTATCACACCACCCAGGACCTCTCCCCAGCAGGGATATTTCAGGAATACCTTGATTTTCTCAATTGTTACATACCCAGAAACATTGTCGATTACATTTATTCAGTTTTGGAACCATCACCAGGGGAGACTTTGTATTAAAGAAACCCTACAGGAGCCATATTGCCAAGAAAATGGGTAGACCTGTAGTTGCTAGAGGGTTTTCTTAAGGTGAGGCTCTCTGCCTGCCCGTGCCTGGGCTCAGCTGGATTCTTTAGGGTCTTGGCAGGGGAAGGTGCTGCTGCCTACAGCCTGCTGTGGTTCTTAACACAGGAGAGCCTAGGGTAAATTTCTGAGTCCAGGGCACCTAAAAGTCAGACAGCAAAGTTTGACTGAAGGTGGGAGGAAAAAACCAGTACAAATTCCAGGGAGCCCAGCAGCTGGGAAGGGGGCAGGGATAATAGGTAAATTAGATATTAGATGCAGGTAAAGAATTTAGCCTGTCCAACTTTGTTGAAAGAACAACAACAAAAAAATTAGTTTTGACAAGGGTTCAAAACTGTTCTTGAGCACTTGATTCACTTTCTGGGAAGCTGCCAAAAATCTGCATTTTAAACAGGTCCCCAGGTTATCCAAAAGCAGGTGATTTGAGAACACACATTGAGAAACTCTGGACCCTAAACAGAAGATCCAGTTTGGGAGCTTTACTAAAAACTGA